GAGAGAGAGAGAGAGAGAGAGAGAGAGAGAGAGAGAGAGAGAGAGAGAGAGAGAGAGAGAGAGAGACCTGCAACATGCAGCATGTCTGTGGCGGGGAGCACAAGGTCAGGCGCTAACCTCCAAAAAAAAAGTAGTAATTGTATTGGAATATAAGAGTTTTTTCTTTTCGAAATCGGAATAGAAAGGGTACCCGTTGTATTCGAATACAACCTGGACGATTTCTATTTGAGGTACTCTGCTATTCAAGAAAAGTGCACCCACACCGTTTCAATTTCGAAAAAGGCTTAAGGACCACTGCCTCCTCGGCCTCCTACGGGCAGCTACCGGTCCTACGCGGTCCTGGCCCTTGCAAGGCCCCAAAACCTAAAATGCCCACCCTCCCGACGACCACCGACGTTGAAATTTCAATGACGTTGAAATGTCTCAATGGGGGAAAACGCAACCCTGACGGGCTGCAAACTGTCCCACTCAGCCTCACCTGTAGGACGAGTTCAATAATAGCTCACACAACTCCCACAAGTTCCACTCATCCCAACAGTCCCAAACTGTAGAGGTTGGTCCTGCTAGTGTGGAGAACCCAGCACGTTTCTCACCACTTGTGTCGCCAATCCGACCCTATCCCACAGTTCCCTCCAGAGATGTACCACCCCTAGCAGAGTTCCCTAGTCTCATCAGAGTTATACCAGTCCCATCAGATACCCTCCCGTCGCACCAGAGTTCCACCAGTTTACCCATCTACTTTGTCGTGGGTGGTGGTGGCGTGGCGAACCGGCAACTGCCATGGGGACCATCAGCTCCACATGTCCCACAAGGAGAGTCCCACAAGCCTTACTACCTGCCGCACCTGCACCATGAGTCCCACCACTTCCACCACCTTTCCCAGCCACTTCCACCCCCTTTCCACCCCCTTTCCTGCCACTTTCACCACGTGTCCCACCACCTGTCCGATGACCTCCCCCAGTCCCACGAATCCTAAGAGTCTCTGTCGAGGGTGGTGGTGGTGTGGCGAACCGGCAGCTGCTATAGGAACCATCAACTACGTGTCCCACAAGGAGAGTCCCACCAGCCTTACTACCAGCCCCACCTGCACCATGAGTCCCACCACTTCCACCACCTTTCCCAGCCACTTCCACCCCCTTTCCACCCCCTTTCCACCCCCTTTCCTTCCACTTTCACCACGTGTCCCACCGCCTGTCCGATGACCTCCCCCAGTCCCACGAATCCTAAAAGTCCCATGAGCCCCACGCCGGTCTCAACTGATCTCTACTGATTAGAGGTTTTTGGTGATATAGCGATGCCACAGGTGGCCCGCATGATGGCAGTCCTGCCACATAGCAGCTGCTCCTTTTCCGTTGGTGCGGGGCACACCGCAACTGTGTGCGAGGCAAGGAGGGGCAAATGGAAAAGAACAGTGCTCCAATCTATTCATGGGGAGCAACACGTGCTGGGAACCAGGTCCAGCGTCCCATATGAGAACATCTATAGAATAACAAAACAATTGTTTTTTAGTGAACAACCCCAGTTGATGCTAGATTAGGGGTGTTGATAGGAGCAAACACCACTTGCACCCCCGGGACCATAACCCACTTGCACCGTTTGTTTGAGGCAACTCAAGGGTGTGACAGCTGAAAATGTTCATTTTAATTCGATTTCAAATGAGAAATGCATTTATAAATGACACGGATACAATTGTTCTGTTTTTTTTTTTTTCACAATTGAAGTGGCATATGGGCACTTCCACAGCATAAAATGAAGAGTTGCCAGAATCCCGTACAAAAATGGTAAACGGAAAAATGGCAAACGGAAGGAGGCTCGTACAGTTTCTCTATAAAAATGTATTTTGGGGGAACAAGAGGGTCGTTGACCTGGCTGTCTCAAAAAAAGGAGACAGCTAGCTCAATGAAAAGTCACAAGGGTAGGGGCCGTAGTATTCGAAGGAAAGTATTTACTACTCCTTTTTGTTGGAATAAAAAGAGACGATAGTCTCTATTGCCTTTTTTTATTAAAATCCGACTGCTAGATCACTTGGACTAAGTGCTTCTTCATGGTCGCCTACAGTCACAAAAGGTTGAAAACTAAACGTAAACCTATCTCAACGGAGCTAGTGGGACATGGTCCCCGAGGAGGCTTCGTCTATTGGTGGGGAGTAACATTGTTGGAAAAAAGGTCCAGCGTCCCTGAACATTGAAGTTGGTTGTTTGTTTGAATAGGCGTGTGACTGTAATCACAGCAAGTTCCAGGGCCCACCTACAAATAAGGAAATTCTACAGGTAGAACTACACAACAGCCTCAGTTGATACCCTACAGAATAATTAACGATATCGGGTCATTACCCAACTTCGGCTGAAGATGTCATGCACGATCACAAAGCAGCTACTGAGTTTCAAGTCGAAACTACAACTCTAAAACCCTCCTGTATCCACAACAAACCTCTAAATACATGAAAAACTAAGATAAGAGTTGTCTGACAGACCCAAACAAAACCCACCAAAACTTTTATTTTCTGCCAGGCTCATCCAGGCCTCACACCCTCAACCGGTTAGGTTACAGAGAAACACAACTGGCTTTAGCTCCTGCAAGCCTCATCCTGTCAACAACCCCAATTGTCCCTTGAGATGCCCACCTTAAAGCATCCCCAGATCTCTCTACCAAGCCTCAAGTCGCCTACAGCAGGTTCCAGGGCAAAGGCCCCTCCCCAATCAGCATCGTTCTGGTATCGAACAGCCACGAGTCGCTGAATGCGACAGCTTCCACACAACTTCAACTAAGTTGTCAGGAACCCGCAAAATCTTGAAGAATTCTTCAACCAAGAGGGATACCAGGGGTGCTCATTTTGTTTTTCTCAAAGACTGCGAATTAGAACTAACTTCAGCAAAGCACTGATAACCGAAGACAAACTACCTAGGTTTATTCTTGTAGGTCAATCAAACTACCCCTCGATGTCATGTCCTCAGACTAGAACTCTACCTCTTTCACGCTCCCTATGTTAGGTTACAAGGTAGCACAACCCGCCCCAGCTTCGGCAAACAACGTCCTGCTTGTAGCTCATGGATGGTCATTGGACTACCTTCCACCCTCGGTCATTCCCAAAATCTATTTACCGATTTTATGCCCCAACCAAACTCAGGTAGCACGACCAAACCCTAGCGCCGACTAACATCATTTTAGCATCAACCATCCTTATGCTACGCTGACGGTATCAACACAACATCGGACTGAATTACAAAATATC